GCTCTTATTGCGTCCGCTGAATTGCGCCCAGCCGCCTTGTTTAGAATAACCCGCTTCCTCTTGAAAGGGAGGGATGCAGATGACCCTTTGCAAGGTAGAGCTGAGGAATTTATTCAGTTTCTAGTTGATAAAGTCGCTCGGATTCGGACAGACCTGGACTCCAATTGCTCAGTGCCAACCGAGGTACTGGGGGAAGGTCTTGAGCGGAGTTTATGGACTGATTTTCAACTCATCGCTCCTGAGGAAGTGGACAAGGCCATGGGAGCGGTGAGTGCCTCCATTTGTATACTGGACCCGTGCCCCTCCTGGCTGGCCTCGTCCAGCAGGGAGGTGAAACGGGGCTGGATCCAGACGATAGTTAACACCTCTCTCCAGGAGGGGTCTCACCACCGCATCCTTTAGGAGGAGCGGGAAGGATCCCTCCCGGAGAGAGGTGTTAACTATCGCCTGGATCCAGCCCCGTGTCACCTCCCTGCTGGCCAAGGCCAGCCAGGAGGGGCACGGGTCCAGTATACAAGTGGAGGCACTCACCACTCCCATGGCCTTGTCCACTTCCTCAGGCGCGACAAGTTGAAACTCAGTCCATAAATTCCACTCAAGACCTTCCCCCGGTACCTCGGCTGGCACTGAGCAATTGGAGTCCAGGTCTGTCCGAATCCGAGCGACTTTATCCGCTAGAAACTGAACAAATTCCTCAGCTCTTCCCTGTAAAGGATCATCCGCGTCCCTCCCTTTCAAGAGGGAACGGGTTACTCTAAACAAGGCGGCTGGGCGCGATTCAGCGGCTGCATAAGAGCGGCAAAATGCGCACATTTCACCGCCCGTATTGCCACGAGATAGGCTCTGATATCTAGGACAGTGGTGGGTTTCTACCAGTTCGGACCAGTTCTCCCGAACTGGCAGTACTGCCTTCAAACGGAGAGCGAACTGGTTCTCTGTTCCTTTGAAAGTGGGCCTGCCTGCCTGCCTGCCCCTGGGTTATGCTTACCTTTATTCCAGTTTCCGAAGCCTAGCTGATCAGGGGCGGCAGCTTGAATTGCTGCTCCCCAGCTGTTTTCCTTTTGCTGTGGGTATTTTTCGTTCAATTGCCCCGCACACTCAGCTAACCAGTAGTAAACTGGTTAGGAACCCACCACTGACCTAGGATCCTTTCACAGTTACTGTTGTTGAGCTAGGTACCACCTATTCTATATTTATGCATTAGTTTTTTATGGGCCTAAGTAAGTAAGTGCCTTACTTTTCTCACCACTGAATTGCATTTTCCTGGAAAGGACCAAATGTTCAAGTCTGTCAAAATCCTTCCGTATTTTGAATCTATCCTCCCAGCTTGATGTCATCTGCAAATTCCCCTAATAGTACTGGACTTAAGACCTTTGTGATATCCACTGCTTGCTACCCTCCACGTAGATGCAGTATCATTAAGGACTACACATTGAGTGCAGTTTTTCAGCCAACTGTGTATCCATCTAGTGGTGATCCTGACCTACATTATTTTATCTTAACAAGAAGTAGGCTGTGGTCAGGGGTGGCTTCTGGCAGGCACTACTGCCAGTTCGCTTGTGCGCACCTGCAATTAAAATTGTTCTGCACATGCGCAGAACTGAAAAACAAGATGGCACCGCTGACAGCGCCTCCCGGGGAACCGGTTCGGGGGCGTGGCAGGCCTGGGTTGCTGCCGGTTCCAGTGACCCAGGCCGCCAATCCACTACCGGTTCTACCAAACCGATCCAAACTGGTAGGAACCCACCACTGGCTGTGGTCTACTTTACAAATGCTTAAATGTCTTTTTGTTGCAAGTCTTTTAAAAAGTGTTGCATGTATCACTCATGCAGCAGTTTGTTCTGGAAGTTACGCCTGATCATAAATAATAACACCCAAGGAAGTTTTGGGGAAGATAACCCCCCTCCCCCCGTTAGTCCCCATTCATTCCATTCTTTTGTCATATTTTCTTTTGCATGGGATCCAATTTGCTAAAAGTTTCCACAGCACTAAAGATAGGTTTGAAAAAAAATGTGAATTTTCTGCCTGTGGTGCCATGGACCCAACTAGAATAAGAAAATCAACTGGAATGGTTCAAAATGCAACCAAAGTAAGAGACCCTACTATCACTGTAAATGAGGCACTGTAAGCCTTCTTAAAAGTTCCTTTCCCCCATCAGCTTCCCCTTCCTTTGTTTCTTAGGCCAGGGGCATACATTTCATCAGAAGAGTCAGATTGGACCAAGAACAGGTATAGCCTCTGGACAGAGTGGAGCCATGTTAGATATGCTTATTCTAAGGCTTCTGAAATGGTACTTCTAGCTTGTTGCCTTCAGGCAAATAAATATCTCTTGGTGAGATAGATACAAAAGGGACAAAAGTCTGCAAAACTGCAAATATAAAACACAGGGTAGAATAAAAATGCACAGATCTACACGATATTGCCAAAAGTATTCATTCACCTGCCCAAATAATCAGAATCAAGTATTCCAATCACTTCCATGGCCACAG